GTTAATTTTTGTTTATACCTTTAATATATTAATTTGTAATGGTTTGGATTCATTTGCAGTTCAGTACCTGCAGCCTGTGAATTTGTTTTGTATGAAATTAAGTTTTCTAAATTTTATTATCAGAATTTTAAATCCATTACAACATATAACATGAATTGATTTGTGTAATAGGGATAAATTTTGGAAAATAAGTAAAATTTATATGAATGAGTTTTACTCTTAATTCACTGTGTCCTTGGTGTAGAAAGGAGTAATCTTTGTGAAGACTGTTTGCAGTGAGCTGTGTACTGCGCATATTACCTCTTGTCTGGGAATGAATGCAATAGTAGTATTGATCACCTTGGATATTGTTGCACTTCAATCTGAATACCTGAATTAATTTGTGCTTGAGGGAGGGGGCAAAAATGACAGCTTAAATGATTTGTCCTCAGCGAGCGTAGAAAGTATTGATAAAGTATCTTATTTTTTCCCAAATTATACAGCCAATGACCGAGTGCAATTATTCTCTCCCCTCTCTACCCCCTTTTGAACATTCCCCTTCTCATTTCTCTCCCCTCCCCCTCCTCCTCATCATTCACCCTCACCCTTGCCAACCTTGCATTTCTGGACCCTCCTCAGCCCACGCTCCCCCTCCCCTCCCCGCCTTCTTTCACAACACCGCTCCCCTTCCCCTCCTTTCTTATAATTGTTTCCAACCTTTTCTTCGTTCTCTAACCCACCCCATCCTTCTCCCCTCCCAGTGCACTCAAATACACCCTCACTCTTCCTCTTGGTTATTCCTTGTGAACTGTCTCTTCTGTCTTTATGCATTCTATCCTCTTCCTGGTTATTCCTTGTGAACTGTCTCTTCTGTCTTTATGCATTCTATCCTCTTCCTGGTTATTCCTTGTGAACTGTCTCTTCTGTCTTTATGCATTCTATCCTCTTCCTGATTCACCCTTTTCATCCTCTTCCCAGTTCACCCTTTTTCATCCCCTTTCCAGTTTGCCCTTTCCATCTGCATCCCAGTTTGCCCTTTCCGTCCCCCCTTTCCCAGCTCACCCCTCTCCATCCTCTATGCAGTTGTATATTGTTACCCCTTTTCTTAGTTGAACCTATTCAGCCTTCCCAGATCATCCCTTCCTACCTTCTCAAGTTCTCTTACTCCTTAACTGCCACTTTACTCACTATAGTCCTTCCAAATTCTGAAGCCTTTCATATTTATTCCTTCCCCCCCCCTCCTTTCTTTCCCAATTCACTTCATTCACTCCTGTGCACTAGTTTGTCACAGCCACTCCTGTGCACTAGTTTGTCACAGCCACTCCTGTGCACTAGTTTGTCACAGCCACTCCTGTGTACTAGTTTGTCACAGCCACTCCTGTGTACTAGTTGCCATAACTGCTCCTGTGCACTAGTTTGCACACAGCCACTCCTGTGCACTAGTTTGTCATAGCCACTCCTGTGCACTAGTTTGTCACAGCCACTCCTGTGTACTAGTTTGTCACAGCCACTCCTGTGTACTAGTTGCCATAACTGCTCCTGTGCACTAGTTTGCACACAACCACTCCTGTGCACTAGTTTGCACACAGCCACTCCTGTGCACTAGTTTGTCACAGCCACTCCTGTGCACTAGTTTGCACACAGCCACTCCTGTGCACTAGTTGCCATAACTGCTCCTGTGCACTAGTTTGCACACAGCCACTCCTGTGCACTAGTTTGCACACAGCCACTCCTGTGCACTAGTTTGCACACAGCCACTCCTGTGCACTAGTTTGCACACAGCCACTCCTGTGCACTAGTTTGTACACAGCCACTCCTGTGCACTAGTTTGCACACAGCCACTCCTGTGCACTAGTTTGCCACAATCACCTTGCTTTCCTGGTTCATCTTGTATCCCATATAGTTTGCTTCTTTCCTCATTCTGTCTAGTTCACCCCTACTTCACCCCTTCCCCCCTCCGCATGATGGGGATAATCTGTGTTCCATGTTCACCTCATCCCATTCCTCAGTTCTTATTGTCCACCCAACACCCTCTTCAGCATTCCCTTTATCCCAATCAAACAAACTTTGTTTTAAGTTGTCACTCCAACCTCAGTATGGTGCTGCCGCCACCCACACCCCTCCCTGTTTACCACTACACATGGCTCCCCCAGTCCAGCTCTACTCCATACCCATCTTATTCCTATCTGATCTGTGTCACTCGTTCACATCCACTCATTCTCACCATATCCAGTGTTCTCCTTAGCTTCCTCACACTTCTGCTAGGTCATTCTACCCTTATATACACTACTTTTCACAACCTACCTGATAGTCACTCCCAATTCACTCGACCTACACCTCTCTGCACCCCCTCCCACACATATATTACCACACTTAGGTAATTACACAAAAGCTGAGAAACAAACGCTATGAGAAGAGTTGAGAGGTGTTAAACATTCCAAAGAAGAGAGCTAAAAGCTAAAAAAAATTGTGATTAACTACATAAAAAATAGTAAAAAATCAACAAAATTGATAAAAGAATTCTTGTAAACTGCAACTTCAAGAACAAGAGGACACAGATTCAAGCTAAGGAAACAAAAGTGCTGAAAAAATATTAGAAAGTTCGCTGTTGCAAACAATGGTAGATGATTGGAATAAGTTAAGTGAGAAAGTTGTGAAGGCCAAAACTGTCAGTAGTTTCAAAGTGACATATGACAAAGAGTACTGGGAAGATGGGACACCACTAGCATAACACTCATCCTGTAACTACACTTAAGTGTAGTTACACACACGAGCGTGCGTATGTACGTCTTACTCCCTATTAACACCAACCTAATATCCCTTCCCAAGTTTCCCCAACCCAATCCATCCCCGTTTCAGAATTCCCCACCTTCCCATTTCAGTACTTCCCCAACTCATTCTGCTCCCCCCCTCTATGTAGTTGATTGCACCTCACCCCCTTTCAGCTTAGTCCACACCTCCCTCCCCCCTCTCTCCCCCCTCCTCACTTGATCCCCAATTTTCCCTCCTCCCTCCCCTTGCACCCAGTTATAGCTTTACCCATCCACCCTCCCCCTTCTGATCATGCCCTGCCTTCACCCTCTCCCCTCCCTCTTGCTGCCAGTTTGTCTTCTCTCCCTCTCCTCCCTTCTCACTCATGTTCTACTCCCCCCCTTGACTCATTTATATCCCTTCCAGTGCATGTGAATCACCCCCTCCCCCCCCCCATCTTACTCTATCATCTTGGCTTCGCTTGGTCTTACTGTAGCTTAATCTTCTTCGTTTGTTACCTCATCCCACTACTCCTTTATTACTGTGGCTGCTTCTCTTCCCTTTATTACTGTGGCCTCCTCTCTTCCCTTTCTTGTCTTGCCTCTCCTATGGAAGTCATGCATACCTTTCAGTCACCCTCCTATTCTCATTCTCTTTCACTCTCTCATGCTCACCTTCATCTCCCTTGTTCTCCCTTAACATCACTCACTCCCCTCTCCCTTCTTACCGTCCCCTTCCCTATCTCCCTAATGATCTCTTCCTTCCCGGTCTTTCCTCTCTCTCTCTCTCCCCTTCCTCAATATTCTTCCCCTCTCCCTCCACAAGTTTCCCCCTATCCTCCCCAACTTTTGCTTGCTCTCCCCTCGTCCCCTCCTACTCAACCTTCCCCTTCACCTCCCCAACTTTTCTCTGCACTCCCCTCTTTCCTTCCCCTCCTTTCCCCTCACCCTCACCCTCCGCCTGCTTTTATATTTCAAGTCTGGTTGTGAGAGATTATGACGGTGGCAGAACCTCCAAGTGGTGTTGTTTTAACGCAGGGTCTCCTCCTCCTAACCAGATACGACAGCTCACTTTTTCTCTCTCCATCATCGGATGTCAGCTTTTGTGCTGCCTTTTATGGCAAATGCTATCTATTTTATCTGTTTATGCAGTCCATTAGGATAATTTTCCAGACGTGGTAGCTCTAACATTCTATAAGTGAATCCTTTTTACTTCACTTTATTTGAGTACAGTTTTTATATTTATATATATAGTAATATTTTTATATAGTAATATTTTAGTACAGTTCTGTAAGAGAGACTATTTTGTGGAAGTTTACCTCATAATAGGGTAGAACATAGGGAGAGTTTCCCTGCCCATGTGATGACTGTTATGGGGCAAAACAATGGGTTGTAGTACAGTCATTTGCTTGGTAGAATTGTATTATGAGACAGGTAATGGGAAGATGATGGGGGGTGGGGAGAGTGCCAGTGGTAGTTGTTGCCTGCAATACTCTTGAATTTATTGATTTTCTTCATCTTTATTGAAGGGATGAATTGAAGTTTGTTAGTACAGTATATTACTTTAAAAGTGATTAGCAATGAATCTGTAATGATAATTTTGATGAGTAAATGAATACATAATATTGATGAGTTAATAAATATCTGCTTACCATTCTTTCTCCTCTGATATATGTTCATGCATAATTATAACAAAATTCTTGTTTGGCCACTTTTTTTTAAATACAGTAGCCTTTTTGAGTGTTGTGAGTTCTTATAGCAAACACAGTTTACTTCTGTTTGGTTTCATTTAATTAGCATGAATTATTTTAAAAGCATGTCCTAATTGATTTATGCAAATTTGCATGGCTGCCTTTTTGCTTATTATCGACAGTGCATAAATTCTTTGTTTATTTTTATTCCAGAAGTGATGTCAGAAATGTTATATTTCTGGAGTATTATGCTATGCTACTAGCATGGCTTCCATTTTGCTGTGACACTGACCGCTGGGAAAGGCAATGTGATATCGCGTCGATGCTGTTGAAGCTAACGAGGGGCGGGAGGGAAACAGAGAGGGTGGGCCGCTAGATATGAACTAGGGAGGGGAGGAAAGGCAGGGAAGGGTGAGGGGAGCATCAAACAGAGGGGCTACCTCGGTGCTACACTAACCTAGAGAGACCTGTAGGGATCAGTGGTGAAAGTGTTGGTGTTGTGTGCAGGGGTGAGTGTGTGGCCCTGATGGTTGTCCAGTAGAGTTGTGTGGGTGGGCCTGACAGCCTCCCTCTATTGCAGGTGTGTAGGCATAAAGGCGCCATGGACTTCACAATGAACATGATCGACAATGGTCGGGGGATACCTGCGACTCAGGCTGCTGCAGTGGCTGCCATGGGAGGTCAGGTGGCCTACCAGGCACATGCTGTTAGTGTCACTCCCACAGTCAGCCAGCAGCAGCAGCAGCAACAGCAGCAGCAACCGCCTCCACCACCTCCACAACAGCAGCAACGTGGCAATCTGCATGAGAGCGATGGTGGGGCAGGGTTGGTGGGGGAGGGTAAGGTTCAGGAGTTAACGAAGGATGATTCTCAAGGAGCCTTCACTCCTCCCCCCCGAGTGTCTTCTGTTGCATCTCACGAAAGTCACGTGGAAAAGGGTACTGACACCACAGACTTTGAACCACTTATTAAGGTTGAGATTAGAGGGGGTATTCCGGGGCTCAATACAGGTGGTGAGAAGGACAAGAACAGTATTGTTCAGTTACACTTCAACAGTGTCAATGAGGTGTTACATTATTTTTCCCAGCGGTCAGTGCCACAGCACATTGATGCCTTCAATCTTCTTACCAACCCAGACCTGGTGCGCAATATCAACCCCGACTTGGTGCGCAACCACTTCCTGTACGTGCCCAACCCTCAGGAGGGAATGCGGATAGCATCTAACGGTTACAGTTCAGGAGGATCCAACTCGGCTCAAACACCTCCAGCTCAGGGTGGAGCAGCAACGTCGCCTGTGGTGGTTAAACAGGGTTCTGCCAGCAGTGGTGGTTACAGTAAGCAAGGTGATAGGCGACGAGAATCCAGTCAAGGTTCCCTGACACCTGGCACAATCATCCCCAGACCTGGGGTGGATCAGTCAGGGGCTTCATTTGTGTGTTGGATCTGTGGTTTAGATTTGCAGAAATCTCTTCAGTTTGAAGAACACATGGTGGACCAACACAGTGTGGATAAACCCTACAGGTGTGATGACTGTGGGGTTACATTCAAGCGTAAAGCACACCTGGATCGCCATCGCCGTATCCATCTGCCCACTCGTCCCTATCAATGTGCTGTGTGTGGTAAAGGCTTCACACGGAATGAGCATGTTCGCCGTCACTCGTTCACTCATTCTGGAGAGAAGCCCTACCATTGTCCAACCTGCACCAAGACATTCTCACGGCGGGAGCACCTCACCAAACATCTGCCGAGCCACACCAAACTACCAGGCCCTCACAGTCCACCTCCAAGCGGCCATCCTCACACCCCAGGTGAGTATGAGTACTTATGCTCACCTGCGGACTCACCCAACCCCCCTCAGCCACAGCTGGGGCCAACAAGTGTCTCGACAGCAACCCTCACCTCTCTTACTGGGGCAGGCCAGATTCCGTCCAGTCTTCTGCATGCAGCTGTACCGCAGTTGCTGCCACCTTCCACCACCCACAGTAGCATCAAGCACCAGCAGCCTCACCACCGACTGGCTGCACACCATAGTCAAGGTACCACATATCACCACACTCTACAGTCACATAAGTCATTGCCTTAATCACCACCCATTGTTTTCACATTAATGATTCTCTGATCTATCCCATGAGGATGCTAATCTTAAGATTTTTTAGTACAGTATAACATCAGATTTGTAGAAGTAAAGATAATCCAGCATACATATGGGTGTAGCTTAGACCAAGGTTTCTGTAGCAACTTTAAATATTATCTTCCACTTAAAATATTTTCATGAATATTGGTTCTCCAACTAACCCAACTAACATACAGTACCGTACTCAAATATCACGGTCTTAAGCACATGGACTTGCCTCCAAGGAATAATAAAAGGTATGTCTAAACCTAAGATTCTTAGTCATCATTGTCAAGTACTGTATGTTGAATATTGAACTTGTCGTACAAAGTATTACCATAATGCTGCTTACAGTCCTTGTGTAAGACCATGCTCTCCTGGCAATATTGACTAAGTCTTTATGGCTGACCTATTCACTGTACTGGTGTTAGAGGGTATGATAATAGTATGTTCATCATTTGAAGAGTTTTAACCAAATGTCACTTTGTCACTCAGATACTGTGTTTAATATGTCTCACGTTTTACAAATGTGCCGCACAATTTTATCATGGCAATATATTTTTAGTTTTATTAAATTATTAATGTAATTCAAATTTGAGATTTTTAAACTTATATAAATTCGTGCCATTTTTCTTAAATATAGAATTCAACTTATTGTAATGATAGTATAAATACTTAGCCCAAGTGAGAACTTTTTGCCATTATGAAGATGATGAGCAGTTGTCTTGATATACAGCTTGGGGTGTGTTGTGGCACTTGAACACTAATCTTGCTGTTGTCATATTCCCTCAAACACTTTGTGAAGGATTTATAATACTATATTGTTAAAAGGAAAAGTTTATCAATTTTGTTGAGCTGAGGCCTAACAGGATAACGGGTAAGCAAGGTAAATATATTTCACTTTCCAATACTGTAGTCCACCGTTAAATTGATAGCTATTTAAGGATGTTGCTTTATAAATCATTTAATTGTCTGTAAATGGGGTGTGTTGCTAATTTTTATGATTAATGTGCTTAATTTATTAATTAGTATTTTTTATAAATAGTGTTCAAAGTTATATAATTTATTTTATGCTGATGTATATATTAGTTTACCTGGTTTCTGTAGACTAAGACCTGTAGTCAAGTGCCTACCAGCAAAAAAAAAAAAAAAAAATCTTTATCATCTAATTCATGTGGTGCCTAAGATGCATTTAACATCAACATCATCAGTTGGCCATAGAAGTTCCCATAGAATTGTACAAACAGTGCCACCATTCAAAACTGAAAATGGTGCACAGCCTCGGTTTGTCGGACTATTGGAAATAATAAAATTGCTCAATATTTGCAAAGACCCAGGTTAAGTAAGGTAAAGCAGCACATGCTCATTTTTGTGTCCATATCTTCATGTAAACTTGTAAAGTAAATTATGCCAGTTGCTGTGGATAGATTTGTGGAATTAATGAAAAGCACATCCAAAATAGTCCTGACATACATTTCCCGTTTTCCATTAGTTATATTTGTGGTGTAAGAATGTGGGCATGATTTTAAAGTAGGGAAATTTAGTGCAGTGTTTTATTACATTTTCTATCACTGCATTAATTGTTAGTGTATTTTCTGTCATTATTCCATGATTTGTTTGTAATTTTTTCTTTGTAGCTTGCATGTTTGTACTTTACTAGAATTTCTATCCATTTGGTCTGATGAATTGCAATCAATTATTAGTTCTGCATAACATGTAACTTGGTTTTATTATGTTGATAACTAACATAATATAATAACTTATAAACCCTGATAGGAAATTTTATACAATATACAGTATATACAGTACTATAGATTTTAGAGACTGCAATAAAACAACCCCCTTTTATATAATGGGTTGATATATTTTTGTCATGAATGCATGTTGTGCCCATGAGGTACCTGAAATAACTATTAGCCTAAAGGTTGTGGATAGGTATTAATTTCTGAATTATTAGTGAAGAAATTAATAGCGTGCTATATTTTTTTTTAGTTTTAGAGATGTCATGTTTCATATTTCATTGAAGAATATTAATATTACAACCCATCCTCCTGTTTAGATTGTACCCATTGTGACGGTCGCCAATAGTCACGAATTCGTATGTACTTAGCTTTTAGATAGTAGTGTACTGACTAGTAAGGATTTCTTTTAAAATAAATGAAGCTAAAAAATAAACTTAAATATTCGTAGGCCTAGTATAGCACAAACATGTACTATATTAGGCCTCGGATATCATGTACAGTATTAGGCCTAGGAAGGTAAGGTTAGTTTAATTTGTAAAAAAAAAAAAAAAAAATCCAGTTTGTCCAACTCAATAGTTCAGATTTCTACTTTGTAATTTCATTGTATGTCAGTATATACTGTATTGTATGGTCCTCATCGTTACTATAAATACCTGTACTACCAAAACTGGAGGATGGCCTGTAATATTAAGATGACTAAATAGTATTCTCTTCAGATGTGAGTAATCAAATGTATACATGTGCCTTTCTTTTATTAGCTTAATTTAGTTTATTTTGGTTATAATCATTTACAAGGTATCTTGAGATCTTAACTTCATTGTTGATACATTATGATGCATATAATTACCTCATCAGGTTTCAGTAACTTAACTTTAATTAAAAATTTGTAAACAAACATTATGTAAATTGTATAATATATTAAATGCCCATAAATCATTCTTTTATAAGTAACTAGTGGTGAATAAGCCAGAGAGTCTGTACATAATTGTATGAGAATTCAATATAACCAAGCTACCTGTAGTTAGTTACAGCAGAATATAATGTAAGCATGATATTTACAGGTTTGGCCACGACGTTATTGCTGCAAACTACAGATCAGAATGGACGACTAGTTACAATTAACCAAAGTACTGGAACTGCAGTACCCACCTCGGTGGTGACAACAACATCTAGTACTCATCATGGTCAAGGTAGCAGTAGCCACACGGGCACCAGTACGGGTTCCACCCGAGGTCTAAATCATAACGGTGAACCTGTTCCACGCCCATACCAGTGCGGAGTGTGTGGTAAGTCTTTCATCCGTAATGAGCATCTTCGGCGTCACGTGCTGACTCACTCCGGTGAGAAACCTCATGCCTGTGGAACATGTGGCAAGGCATTTTCACGCCGTGAACATCTTACTAAACATATGCGGTCCCACATAAAGGTAAATGTACCAGACTTGGCTCAGTCTGCCTCACAGCCCACCCATAGTTCTATCCAAATTGGTGGCCTAACAGGTGCTGTGGCGGCACCCCAAGCCACCCAGACTGTGGCACAAACTGCCACTGTATCATTACCAACTCCCAGTGTAGTGGCAACTAGCAATGCACATCAACAACCCCCACCCCATGGGATAACGCATACTGTTGCAAGCACCCATGGTACTCCTGTTGCCCATGCTGCTCACCTACCCCCTGGAACTCATTACTTACCAATGTTTGGGTTGTTGGCAGAGGTAGTGTAGGTGCCTCACTGGCACTGTCTTATAAATGGCAGCCTCTACTAATTTACAGATGTTGGCAGCACAGACCCCCCCCCCCTCACTCCACGTGATGATTACCATGCAATCCAGATGATCCTTATCAATGTCCGACTACCTATACCTGATACGGTGCTTGGCCTAGTGACCTATCTGAGCCAGATCCTGGTGGGGCTGGGGCAAGTGTGGTGCTGAATGATGCAAGCTGTAGATAATGTGCCATGATCTCCCCGTAGCTGTGAGCACTAGATTTTTCTCTGTTGTTGCTAGTAAGTTGGTGAGTAAGGGCTATGCCCTTCACACCAACTAGGTACATGTCAGTCACCCTTGTGTGAACCCTTGTCTGACCCTTGATCACATTCCAATCCCTTTCTAGTTGTCTCTTTGGCTACACTAATAAATTAAGGGGAAATTATTGTTGTGAACTTCAGAAAAGATAATTTTTTAATATATAAATTTTGCATTACAAATTTTATGCTGTGTATGTACTTAGAGGATTTGTAAAATAATTGGAACATTTGTTTGGCGACTTAATTTGAAGCAATTAATGCACCCTGCCAAAGTTTTTAATAGTTGGACTTTACTAGGGACATCCGTTACCCCTGAAACGTGTCAAGGCAGCTCTCAACATGGCGACCACAGACAAGGCACCAAGTGTTTTGTTCTTCTCTGTTTCCATGGATGATTTTTTTTTTTAACATGGATTTCATATTTTGAAACAAACTTTGTCTGTGTGCATAGACCATGTTGATGTATTGTAGTGTAACTTGTAAAGAAGTACCTTTTAATTGTAAAGTGATATCCCTGTAATTATTTTTAGGAGCTTTCTTCATAAGCTTATTGTAGATGTCTTGAAGGTAGTGTTTTATACTAGATGCTTTGTGTCAGTTTTTTGAGCCACACAAAGCAGATTTAAGAGATTATTTTGATGTCCAAAGTTATCAGTCCTAACCCTATATTAGTCCAGAGGAAACCCAATAGTGTCAGTTTCATGACATGAATTGGGTTCCAACATTTTTTGAGTTTTCATAGAATTAGATCCGTGGCAGATTTGACAGAGACAGTGCGTGTGTCATCCTGCCAGAAGTCTTGAAATGTTACTGTGTCTAAAGGTGCTCAAATAGATGATAACTTTGGATTTGCTTATTTTAAATTATAGTTAACATAAAATGAGATCTGAATTTTAATCCCTCAGCGAGAGGTCAAGTTTATGGCAATCACAAAGACGTTTTAACGGTCTGGCATTACAAGGTGTTTTATCTGTAGATGTTTTGATTATTTATTTATTTTTTTCATATATATCATACTGGCATTATGCCATTAAATGTAGATTTTGATTTTTTTTATACATATTATATATATATATATATATTATATAATATATGTATAATATATATAATATATATATAATATATATATATAATATGTTTGGACTTGCCAGCAGTGATCCATGAATTACCCAGTCTGTAGATTTGCTATTGCCAGCATTCCGTGTTCAGTTCCATGAAAACTGCATTTCAATGTACTTGGTGGAAGGGGCATTCATGAATGATTGCAAAACTTTAGGGTTTAGCTAAAAAAAATAATCTTTTTGACAGCACAGGCAGATCAAGTAGAAATTATGATAAGAGCCCAAAACACATGGTATCTTACGATCAGTAGGTATACCTGGTAAGATTTGTTCAAGACTTGGTACCTGGACCATTGGCAGAGCACAGTATTTGGTATATATAGTTACCAAGTGCATATTATGCTGGTATCAATGATAAATTTTGCTATTTTTTTTCTTGACACTTCCAGTGCCAAGTGGATACCCCCCACATAAAAGGCCAGGCACTTCATATTAATATGTTGTCCAGTTCACAAAACTCATGGCGGAAATATACAAATTCTTCCAACATATGCATACAAATCCAAGAACTGCCTCCTTTTTTTCCTTTTATGGTAAGCAATGTACAAGTTAAAAGGTGATACTTGTATGATTTATGAAATGTTTACTTTATAATGCTTTCATATACTTGGGTAATATTGCTCTAAGCTAAATATTATCATGCCTCATGGCATAACAATATTGAGTGTGGTCCACTTGCACAAGTCTTATAGAAACGGGGAAGGAAATTTGGTTAAACCTTGACATTTAAGACAAGAGAATCTGAAAAATCAAATATTGTGTTAGGTGCTGTGGTGGCTGTGTGCTGCCTATAATTGCTGATGTCCACAGTATTTAATGTAGTTGGTGTGTTCAGCATCTGTTACCTTTACATTGATCTAAAGAGCTGTGTGTTTGTAGTTGTTCAAGAAACACCTGAGGGGAGTCTGCAGCTTAAACCCCCAAAATGGCAAACTTTAGTCAATAGTCTTTATGTCCTGAACCGCTTTAACCATATTCACTATTATAAAACGTGTTATTGCCTACTTCATCAGTATATTTAAATTTGCTTTCAAAAAAATCATGTGCAGATTTTGAGCATAATTATATTGAGTGAAGTTTACCATGTTTGCCATTGAACCCGTGTTTGTTCTTGTTTGTGATCAGTCGCCACAAATTCCAGTGCATGTTAGTTGCCAGATATATATTTTTTTTCTTTTTGCTACCCAGTGTCACCCATCCTCCTCCTCTGCAGGGTTTCTTGAATGCATAATTTTTACTTAAAATTTGTAAAAGTACAAATTTTTGACCAAGTCATTAGATATGTCATTTGCCTGGTCTGGACTGTTCTCTGATGTTTACTGGAAATACTCAGTCTGTTAGAAATGAATAACATTGGATATGTGGGTCCATCTTGTTTTCTTTGTTTTCCATGAATGTTTATTATTCTTCATGGGATTAATTGCTTATTCAGTATCAAGTCTTATTTGTGTGTTTTAAAGAGTTGACAACTTGCATTTTAAATATTTAATTTTTTTTATTATTTATTTATCAAAGATCAAAATTTAAAAAGGGTATATTGTAAGAGCTCTTTTTGAGTTATTGTGATAAGATCTTGCTGAAAGTTAACAGTCCATAAGTAAATCCCTCCAGAAGTGTGACAAGGTCAGGGATTTGGGGCCCCCCTTGGCATTGCTGTAGTTTTAGTTTGACTTTGCCATTTTATCATGATTTTGGAATGTAGGTGGGGGGATGTAATTTCTATAGATGTGTTAAATGTATTCATACATTTGTTAGCAATGTGAAAGGTATCTACTTTTCCATTAATGCAAAATGTGCGAGTGTTTTGGATATATATAAATATATATATATAATATATACTGTACTGTATATGTATTTTCAAAAATAAAAATGTACAGTGCTACAGATTATGTACTTGTTGGATAATTACAAATGTGTTTGAGGCTCTTGATCCCTGATTCTGTTACACGTTGACTTAGGCCTTGAGGTATTGACCAACGGTGTTAAGTTTGGGTAGGAAATAAAGCAAAGACAACATAAAAGCAAATATAATTGTATTGCATTAAAAACTTCAAATAAAACAGAGGAAGTCGCTTGCCTGTCTTGTTCAACCTGATACATATTTTTTGACTATATAATGTGACTTTATCCCCCCCCCTCTCTGGGATCATATCTTTTACCCCACTCCATGAATGTTGGTAATAGTTTATTAACTATCAAGACAGGTTAGCCTTTGGACACTACAATGACAGTAATAAGTAAGGGAATACTTTCTCCCAATAATGGCCTATTGGCTACCCTCAAGAGTTCCGTCATAATGAATACTGTTTTCCCACTTATCATTTCTCTGTATGCTTGGTAAAGTAATCTCTCAGTGCAAGCGATTCCTTCACTTACATGATACAAAATGCAGAAAGGCATTTTTGCCAAATGTTGAACTTATCCCATGAGGGTGTAGTACCACCATCAACTTTCATTGGGTGGGGGACTTGAATGGTGAAAAGATAGGTCCCCAATTCAATCTCCTGTATCACAGGGGCCTATGGGCTGTTTACATATCTGGGTGGTGGTTACCCACATCTCTATGCACAAGATAAAGACTTAATGTAAATTATGCAGCAATTGTATTGAGAAGTTGATCAGTAACTAAACTATCCTTTATACAATATTATATACAGTATGTTAGTTAATCACTAATTTCCTTTTTTCAAATACACACTAATGTAGAAAGTAATTTTATACTAAATCACGGTTAAAGTTAAATTGTTGGATATTTTGCTTGATTAGTCGATATTTTATTTATAAAAAGTTGCACCATTATACTATACTGTTATAGCCTACAACAGGATTTTACTAAGATATGGCATTACTGATTATTAAATTGAACATAAATGACCAATTATTCTCAAATCATAACAGGGCGTGTGGAAATGCACTTTTCTTTATGTATTGATCACACAGAGTTAACACCCGGGCACCTGATAAGACTAGTAACCTGCCCTTCGTTGTCTAAGTCGTCTTGTTCTACTTGCACACCACATCGAATTATGTACTTTGTTCCTGAATTGGCATCTTGCGTAATATTCAATTATCCAAATGTTCATATTAATGGATTACCAATTTTTAATTAATATTAATGTCCAAATTAGACAGTAACAGAGGGAGTCAGAAGTTATATAGTTGGCACAATAAAAACTTTGGCCAGGAAGCACAAAGTAAGAAAATGTTGCTATACATTTGAATGAACGGTAATGCTTACCTTTATGTATGTGTGTGTCAGATGCTGAGGTGGCATGAAAAAAGATACACAGCCATATAAATGGATAATTGCATGGATTTCTGGAATTAGGAAGGTACAGTATGAAATGAATATGTCATAGAAAGAGTGAAACTGCAAAAGTCAGTGTAATGCATGACAGGAAAATTTATCAAGTAGTTTGGTTGAGAATACAATATGTATACTTGACAATACAGCAAAATCAAGATGACAAATCACAGGGAGTACTGTACACTAACTCACGTGAAGCAGTGGAGTACTTCTATGGAGGTTTTGTTGGAGGGTCGTGGTGTTAAAAGATATAGAGAATGATTAATTTTTTCTTTAAAGTTTCTCTTATAACTTGCTCTACCATTTTCCTCTGGGTTGATGCTGTCCTTCCCCAGGAAAATAAGTTACGTATTTGACCTTATGGGAACCTCTGTACCCAATTCAGATGCCCTTTGGTCAAGTTCAGCCAAAAAATCAAGGATTATTTATGTGGCTACATTTCTTCATTGTACCATTTTTTTTAAGCTTGCCAATAAATTTAGATGCATTTGGTGAAGACAGGTTGAAACCACACAATGTGCATTTCAAGTAATTATAAAAATGCACCAACCCTTGAAGATTATATAGCAATGTCTATGCCACAGAATATTTAAAAGCTAGATATTCAGGATGCCTATACTAGAGCAGAAACGCATCCTGAATAAACAGTTCATTGCCATAGTACTTTAAACAGTGCTGGATTGCCAGCACTATAAGTTGGCATTCCCAATTTAAGTGTAAAGCAGTTTCCAAACCTCCCAACATTGTACATTATACAAAGCAGTTTTGTTTGGCAGTGTCAACAACTAAATATACAAATACTGATGACCAATTATTAAAATATAATGAACGTAACATATTGCTATCAAGGCCACTTACAAATGAACTAAGTAACTTAAATTTAAATATGTAAAGGAAACAGGATTAATAAATTAAAGATAGAACATTTTTGGGAGATTGTGGCACACCTGTTCTTCCACAATCTATATTGTCTAAGAACTTGGTCTAGGTACAGTACTATCAAGATGTTCAAAAGGAATAACTTTTTGGTAACTATGGGTAATATAAAAAATCAGAAGACCACAAAACCTGAGAGAGAGAGAGAGCCAGCTTTTTTCAAGGCATGTATGTTTATAAAATAAGTTGTATTGATATAAAACAATAGCCATAAAAGCTTCTCCCGGAAGCGAACACAGACCTCGCAGCAATACAGTAAAATAAAAGTTCAAATCATTGATTTACATAATCATTACATAGTTCTCATGGGGTGGGAGGTCATAAAAATATAACATGTCCATTCATCATGTCATTCACACAACTGTATACAGCATCACAAACACCACCACACTTCAACAGTAGTCCACAGCATCAGCTATTGCCTAATAAGATCACAGGTATACTGTATATTGTTTTCCTCATGAACTGTCATACTGTAAAGCACAAACAAAAAATGCACACGCTCCTTACTAAGTGCTTCCTAACCAGCATTGTCCATTACCGTATTGTGTGGTTAATGCAGTCTGTTCACAACTGACTGTTCCTGGGTTCGATTCCCAGGCAAGATGATGCATTTCGGCAGATTATTTTAAAACACCTAATGTCTGCCCATTAAAAAAGTAAATAGGTACCTTAGTTCGGAAATGTGTGGACTGCATCCTGTCATCCTTTGACAGTTTAATACTGAAAAAGGTAAGGTTCTAAGCCTAGGTATTGTTAATAGTTACCAGACATCAGCTGGACAATGTTGAAATGTCAAAAAAGATCCCAGAGTCATGAGTAGAAGGAATCTTCGGTTAAAATATAAATGCGTAGATACGGAATAAAGCAGATAGGATACTAGGATATGTTTCTAAAAGTGTTAGCAATAATACATATAGTACACAGAGTAATCACAATAACGTGATGTGTCAATGTGAAAATCCGTAGGAGCCATGATGAGGGTTCGAACCGATGCAGTGGGTGTGCCCCACTAGGGGGTGTGTGTGGAACACCCACTGCATAGGTTTGAACCCTCATCACAGCTCCAATGGATTTTATCAATACAATTTAATTCTTCATATTTATCTTGCTCTTGTGTTAGGCCCCATTCAGGTTATGCAATTCAAATTTGGTCACTGAACTATAGAATAGACAAATTGACTCTAATGTGTACAGAGATAATGCCAGCAATTATAAATCAAATTAAGATTATAAATATATGGACACAATAGGATCTTACCAATAGATCATAATGTACATAGGATCGCTGGATTATTTTAGACGTAGGTTAAACATATATCCATGAATGAGTTTGGGTGGATATAAATAGGAGCTGCTTCATATGGGCCAATTCTAATGTTCAATCTCCCCCTCTACCTCTCACATTTTTATATGGAGTACAGAACTTCGTACCTTTACTCTATAGTATTTATGGTCTATCAGTGACCGAGACAGAGATCTAGCTTTTTATGCCTCACCTTCTAGCCGTGTATACCTCATGCACTAATTACCTCTCTCAACATTAAATGTTTTCACCATATTTTTTCTTGGATGGAATTGGCTTCAACACCCTCTTCCTTCATTGCATTCCACTTGCCAACCACTCATGCAGAGAATGAAAATTTTCTTACATCCCTGTGGCTCAATTGAGTGTCCAACTTACACCAATGTCCTCCTTGTCCTACTCTTTAATTTAAATACACTTCCTTTGGCCACTTTGTCTATTCCTCCGGGGATCTTGTAATTAGTGATCATGTCCCCAGTTTCTCTCTTCTCTAAGGTTGGATTCATGCAATCTGTCCTCATAGCTCAACCCTCTCAATTTGTGTATTACTGTAATCTTAAAACCTGTATAGGTAATAATGTGGTTATTTGCTTAATTTTTAAGACACTAGTATAAAAGTATCAGGCCAAAAAGCTGTTAATTCTAATAATTCAGGAAATTATTATATTTTATATTTATAATTCTAATAATTAAATATTAATTATATTTATTATTATAAATATTATATTTATAATAATTTAGGAAAAGTTAGGTTTGGTTTTTGCCTTCATTCTCGAGCCTTCTACAAACTTAATTGTACAGAATGTGGACCATTTTTTAATGCAACCATTTATATTCTGAACTTCGATCTGTAGTAAGTAAAGTTATTATAGGTCTTGGATGAGAGGTTGTGATAATAGCATGACAGCACTCCGTGAACGTTAAACAAAATCTCATAATACTGGTTCTACAGTTCGTGTTAGAGTGTCGTGGATAATACTGGAAAGCACCTATAGAGCATTTGAAATGCTTCATTTGCCTTTTCAGACACAAAATTGGCTTGAATATGCATTCACTTTCTACATCCCATACATGTACGACGCTGTATTCTTCATTCAGCAATAGACGTAGGGCAAGCCAGTGAATGGTGGGTAGATTGCATGTTTTTTTTACTATTTGAAAGCTTTTTACATGGTACTGTATGCAATACAAGATTTGTGCACAAGTTGACGAGACAAGGAAGATGCTCTAGTAGATAAAAGTACAGTACATAACTTACAGAAGATAAAGAGTAAGAAGAGAGTTTCAAAGTGGCAACATGTTAAAGTGGAGCCCCACAGGGGAAATAAATATGGTTCAAGACTGCATTAAACTGCAGGATAGCATGGACAAAAATATAAAAATGATCCAACAGGTGACTACTAATGTTTAAATCAAGCATGTGCAGTGTAATATAACTGGGTGTAAGAAACAGGACAAACTCAATACAGTGCCAATCCTCCTAGAAATGTGAACTGGCACAGGGAACCACTCAAGACCTTGTA